TCAAATCTGAGGGCAGGAAATAGGAGAAGCTTAAGAGTATACAGCACTGGAACAGTGTGCACAGAATCAGTCTTCTGTATTCATAACCTGTGATTGCCCTGAAGGGATTTATTAAAATTCAAAGCATGCTGATCCTAGACTCTTTGATTTCAAACACAAAATTGGGAGCTGAGTTTGAGATTTTATATATATATATATAACACACACACACACACACACAATATGTCTACAACTTTTGTAGACATCCTTGAGCTAGTTTTAAACCAGGTTGCTGTGGTACTACTAGCAGGGTCTATCTCAGGGTGAGTTAGTGGCCTGGGTACATAGCCAGCTTCTCAGGCAGGTTTTGCAGCTATACTGAACCTTGTGCTACCATGGCTGGACTGTTAGCACTGTCCTAGCTAGCAGTTTTTAGAGCTAGTTCCAGTATGTCAGGCATAGACACTGCAGAGAGGTTTCTAGCCACTCAGGGAGAGGATTTGGAGCTGCTATGGGCTGTGATTGCTGAACAAAACCCAACTGATAGCAAGGCAGCTGTGCTCGAACTTGGAGCTGACGGCAGGAACAGGCTATGGGGTGGATGCTGTAACCCTAATCTCTCCCTTGGTGTCTCTGGCCACACAGTGTCATCCCAGTGTAAGATCCTGCGATGCAACTCCGAGTACGTGGCCGCCACTCTCAACCTACGTGGCTCCAACAAGAACGCGGCCTACTGCAACGCCCTGCGCTCCTACTCCCACTGCACTCGCAAGACGGCTCGCACCTGCCGGGGTGACCTGGCCTACCACTCCGCCGTCCATGGCATCGAGGACCTCATGATCCAAAACAACTGCTCCAAGGAAGGACCCACCTCGCCGCCCCGGCCTCGCCTGCCAGCCCCCAACCACCAGGGTTTCGAGTCTCTGGATATCTGCAACTACGAGAAGAATTTCTTCCACAAGAATGGCCGGGCCCCGGCTTATCAGCACTGTGCAGCATTCGGGGACCCTCACATCAGGACTTTCCACGACGACTTCCACACCTGCCGGGTAGAGGGATCCTGGCCTCTCCTGGACAATAACTACCTGTTTGTGCAGGCAACGAGCTATCCGGTGGCCAAGGGGTCCAATGCCACTGTTACTAGCAAGGTAACCTCATGACCTGTGGTTGGCTTCGTGATTTTGGTGGCCACATTTGGATTAGCGTTCCAAGGGGGTTGGCGGCTCACAAACCAGCGTGATGAACATCCACGCAATGCCAAGTAGCAGGTGTCCAAACTGGGTAGGTGGGAGCTCCCTTGCCCTAGAGACCTACTGCTGTGAATTCAAAGCAGGACAGATCACAGCTTTCTGTCTGGGATGATTTTGCTGGAAAGCCCTGGAGACTCCATCTGAGTTCAGGGTCTCATTTTTCTAGGTGCTGTTTACTTAACTAGTCTGGGACAGTAAAACTGAAAAGAAATTATAAGACTGACAGTGGGTGGGAAGGGGGCAGAGAGGGCAAGTGAGTTACCCAGAGCCATGTGGCAGGTCCAAAAACACCCTGAATTTCACCCCCATGCCTGGAAAACTGGATCACTGGTTTGCAGTGATTCCTTTCTGTACTGTGACCTTCCTATTTTGCTAGGAGCCCCTCTCCCTGATATCAATGTAGGGCTCTCAAATTGTTCAGGTGTCCCAAGACCCCACAGCTATCATTTCAGGCTCTCAGGCAGGGGGTTGGACTGGTTGACCTCTGGAGGTCCGTTCCAGCCCTACACATAAATGCAGTAGGTCAGGTTACCAATGATTTGAACTGGCTGCTTTCTGTCCGTCTTGCAGCTCACCATCATCTTTAAGAACATGAAGGAGTGCATCGACCAGAAGGTTTACCAGGCTGAGATAGACAACCTGCCTGCAGCCTTTGAGGATGGCTCAGTGAATGGTGGTGAGAGGCCTGGAGGGAGCAGCCTGACCATCCAGGAGCGACTGCCTGGCCAGCACATAGAGATCCGTGCTGTCTATATTGGCACCACCATCGCTGTGCGCCAGGCAGGCCGGCAGCTCTCATTCTCCATCCGCACAGCAGAGCAGGTGGCACGCTCCTTCACAGAGGAGCAGGACCTGCAGCTCTGCGTTGGCGGCTGCCCACCCAGCCAGCGCCTCTCCCGCAGCGAATGTCGGCGTGGCAGTATTGCTGTGGAGACAGCACGGGTGCTGTGCAAGGAAAAGTTGCCGGTGGAGGATGTTTATTTCCAGTCGTGTGTCTTTGACGTGGTGGCCTCAGGGGACATCAACTTCACCTTGGCTGCACATGGTGCTTTGGAGGATGCCAGGGTGTTCCATCCAGATGCTGAGAAACTGCACATCTTCCAGACCGGGGCAGGCTGCCATCACCTCTCCTTACCCTTCCTCTTCCTCAGCATCACGTCTAGCCTCTTGGCTATTCAGCTGCACTTTTAACTCCCTGTCCAGCATTCACCCAGCCTACATATAACACAAGGGGCCTATTCTTCCATCTCAGTGCGATTGCCAGAGCATTGCTGATCCACGAATCTATAGGTGCTCTGTAACAAACAGGTGGTGGGACAGACGTCAGTCAAAAGGGAATGGTGCCCCAGAATCTGCCATCCTTGAAGGGATGTATTCAGTGTAAGTGGATGCTGGATTGGTCAACGATTCAGGTCTGTAGAAACGGCATCAGAGAGAAGGGGCCTGGGGGTACCAGTTTGTTTCTCCTCGTGTTGAGGTCTGAATTAGTTGAGTCATACTCCTCCCCCAAACAATTCCCTGCCAGGAGTTCCAGTATATTTTATTTTTTGATGCAAGTGAGGAAGTCACTGTCATGTGAAGGGGAAAAAAAATACCTGCAGTGTCACTGTCAGGCTAATTGCAAGGCATTGCAAGATATCAGTCCTTTACTTGCCTTGTTGTTTTTTGTAGGAAAAGCACCAAGAGGGTAACCAGAATTACTTGATCAATGTATGGGATTTCTTGAACCACTGGAGCTAGTAGCAGATGTTATCTACTATTTTTTCGTTTTATGGAGCAGTGTGGGAG